GGAGCAGCTCAAGAGCCAGGACCTGTTTGACAGCTTTCACTAGGACTGCCTGGTCCACGTGGACACCAAGCCAGCTTACGAAAATCTGAGACAGAAAGTGGATAAATCTGTGTCAACACATCTGGACAGGCAGAAATGGAATCCCATGATGAACAAAAACCACATCTTCAGGCCACAGACAGAATGAGTGACTTCTTGGTAGCTAAGAAAGCCATGCCTGCACTCTCTCTAAAACCTGACAGCCAGGACCCTCCAGTTCCACCATCCTAAGAATTTAATGGACACCTTTTGAAAGTGCCTTTTAATTAATGGTGAAGAAATGCATTCAGTTATGGAGGAGAACTTCAGAATGAAGACAGGCCAAAGTAGTCACTTCAAGATTCCAGCCTTGACTCTGGGGCATGTCCAGACTGAAAAAGGAGCAAGTCTGGTAGCGAGAAAGTTGACTGTGTGTGCTTCCTGGACTGCGCTGCCACTTGGCCAGCCTGTCTGAGGGTGTGGGAACCTGTAGATGACACTACAGAGATAAAAAGAAACACTACAGCAACTGAGGTTGTCCTGAAACAAACATACTTGAACATGGAGACTGCACACGGACTGTAGGGTTTGTGCTCTGGGATGAACAAAAGCTACAATGAAAGAGCATAACCAATCTCAAAGACAATTTCAAGGAATGACAACTGACAGTAAAGGTTAGCTAGGAGTAGGTACTTGACAGTGCTTATTCAATAGTTTCTCAGAGTTGCAAACTAGAAGGTAAAAAAGCCTTTAGCATCAGATAGCTTTAAAGTTGTTGTGATCTTCTCGTACATGAATCTTCTAGCTGGTTTCTTTTTCCTGGTAAGGGGACAAAACACGAACTACAGGACGTTGGGGAAGCTCAGACATTAAGCACAAGGAAGCCTTTGCAGACTTTATGTCCAGGGCTTCTTCCTGTCCTGCAAGGTCTAGTGAATCTTGAGTATGTTTATTTTATTCTCATGTTTGGTTTTTGGTTTTTGTATTTTTAAGTAAATGGTAAATAAATGATTCAGGTTCTATAATAAAATCACTTGATAGTCTGAAAAAAAAAAAACTGATATGGCAAAACAACCTGCATCATAGACTAAACTGAAAATTTAGAAAAGCACCCTGTAAGAGAATCAATGCCAAGAATAAGAAGTATTATTAAAGCAGGGACTTTTATTTTTGGAGAGGTTTTTACTATAGAGTGCATGCACACGCCATAAAGAGAGAGACAGACAGAGAGAAAGAAAGTGAAAAATCTCCCCACTCCCAGGGGAGATGGCCATGCCGCAATCCCTTCTCCTCCGTTCTCCTCTCGGGATCTTGGGCACTCATGTACATGTATGTACCCAGCGTTGAATTTAAGCCACCGGGTCCGGGACTCGAACCACAGTCGACTACATGGGAGTCCAGCAACATAGCCATTACACCAACTGCTGGTCCCAAAGCAGGGACTTTTAAGTTTTCAAGTTAAAGATTAATAGAAACAAATTTTTCTTATCTTTTCTTTTTTTTTTTTTTACCCACCCCCCCCAAACAAATTTTTTAAGTATGGTGCCATGACTGTAATATAATTTCCCTATAAAGTGTCAATGAATCAAGAAAGCATCTAAATTCCAAAGTGTTTTTCAGTTTTATCATAATGAACATACTATAAAACTTGTAAGTATAGGGACCAGCAGTTGGCGTAATGGCTATGTCGCTGACTCTTATGTAGTCGAATGCAGTTCGAGTCCCAGGCCCAATGGCTTAAACTCACGCTGGACATGTGTGCATGTATGCCCAAGATCCCGAGAGGAGAATGAAAGAGAAGGGATTGTGGTGTGGCCATTCCCCCGGGAGGTGATTTCCCGCTTTGTCTCTCTGGTGAGCATGCACACCCTATAGCCAAAACCTCTCAAAAAAAAAAAAAAAAACTTATAAAGTACATCATATAGTTGTTTTTAATATATTCACAAACTTGTATTCTTATTAACACTAAGTCATTTTCATCACCCCAAAGAGAAATCCAGTACAAATTATATATTACTCCCTATCTCCTGGCAGTCTACTCTATGTCTCCAATGGATTTGTCTATTCTAGATACTTCATAAATGGAATCAGACAATGTATGATTTTTGCATCTGGTGTCTTTTCCTTAGCATAATTTTTCAAACTGTTTTTATGATTCATCCACTTTGTAACAGTACTTCATTCCTTTCTACAGCTGAATAATATCCCAATGTATGGATATACAATATTCTGTTTATC